TTTTTTTTTTTTTTTTTTTTCCATTTGCAGCCACAACTGCGTTGCACAGGGAAGGGAAGCTTGTTCCTCTGCTAACTGAGGCTGGAGCACTTGCTAAATCTTCTTCTGCTTAGAGGATCAAATAGTCAGTTGTTTTTTTTAGTAAATCAGTCTCGTGAACTTAACTCCATAAATAAAGTGCTTATCTGTTTTCTGTAGCTAAGTGGTTATGTGAATGCTATTGTTGCTTGGCTTCAAAGAAGAAAGTTTACTTGAATGAGTGTCGTGCATATGAACATTTTGCCTAATTCGTTATTGTGCCTTTTTGGATGTTCTGTGTTTATGGTTAACAACTGCTGGGGAGTTGCCAGCAGTCGCAACAACTACTACTTTCAATCCCAAACTAGTTGGGGTTGACATAAAACTATCAATTCCCACCTGGAGCTGTTACATTAGGATATTCTATAATTTTGGAGGTCTCTAAATTTTGACCTGCATATACTTAAACAGACTAAAGAGACTGTTAACGACATGAGGACTTTGTCCCAGAAAAAAAACATAGAGAGAGACGGCACCTGAGGAGAACGCCATTGAGATGCACAGGAAATTCCTTATTTGTTGGCGAAGGATAACATCGTGATTTAAGCAGAGGTGACCACAATTACTTGATCTATAACATTTTTTTTTTTGGCGAAGAGATAGCATCGCTATGTTAATTTAAGCAAAGCTGATCAAAATTATTTGATCTAATCTGTTGATCGATGTAAATATCATAGGAACACGGTGACATTACAATGAAACAACATACCAACTGTGATTCCAGTCTTTATTTACTGGGATAAGAAGATTTGCCGAAAGAATTTAACTTTTGTGCACTAACAATGTATAACTTTTTACGCAATGATTAAACTAGGATAGGTATAAACTATGAGTCTAGGACCCTAATGAAAATTCAACTCTTCCATGCTCAAAGGGCAATAAATATAATCGAAAACAGATTAGTTTTTACTTTGGTTGTTAAATTATTCTACTAATCAGTTGGAGTTACATTTATTGCGATCCCAATGCAGATGATCATCTCGTGCAGTTATTTTCTTCTTGATATTTGATTTTTTGTTTCAAATTTTTGACTCGTTGATTGGGAAACTGATTATTTGACTCCATAAATTTTACTTGTGGCCTTTCGGATGCTCCTGAGGAGAAGAACACTATTGGGGTGTTTTAGCTTATTTGTACGCCAAACTCCAAAGTAATTGTAGCATTTTGTGTTCGAAGCAAAGCCAATTACTTTGGAGTTTGCGTACAAATGCTACAACTTCTGACTAATAAGCTACACCACAATTACTAGGGCTTCTAAGCTGTAGGCAATGCCATTCTTAAGGCTTCATCGCACTTGATTCAACTTCAGTCTTTCTGTTGAGTGTCAAGTCATTTTCCCGATCTCTTTGTTAAAATGGTGCTGACGCTTTCAGAGCGTCAATTTGCATGCCGCTGAATGCTGATCACTGCAAACAGTCGTCGCCTAAATCACATCTAGGCCTTGCGTGAAGGGACGCCGAAGCCTCAAGTGGTTTTCTTGCTAATTTATGGCAGTGAAGAGGAAGTTATATCATCCCCTCAACTATCAATTCATCAGAGTTGGTTTTCAAGGACATATTTTAAGTTAAACGAAAGTTAAGTCACCAAATGAACCTAAATTATTGGAATACATAGCATTCAATAATCGATCACGGAAAATATGATTTTGATGTAACCAGTGTTGCAACGAAAACTCGAGGAAACTAATCATAGTAACTAGCGGTAGGCGGTTCGTATTAGCTCGGGCTAGAATAACTAATGGGCAGCTAATGCTCATAATTTCGTTTCGGTCAAATGAGACAAGAGCCAAGGGGCTATGTATAAGTTGTTACACCCCATGTTTTTGTACGTGAAAGTACGCCATAAGTAAATTGATGAAAGCTCGGAAATGAGATGTTACATTCCGCATTTTCGTATGTTAAAAGTTTCGTCGTAAGTTAATCGACGTAAGTTCGGGAATGAGATTATTTTGAAATTATAAGCATTATGCTATTCCAAACAAGTGATAAATAAATTCGTGAAGGTGAAAGAGTAAGCGAATAGAAGAAATGAGTTTCGTCGAAGTTTGACATTTTGGGATAAAATACGGTCCAAGCTATAATACCCCGTATGTATGGACTAGTACCATACATGGTACCACATGACCATGATAGTAAGGTGTATAAGATATGTTAAAAGTGGGAAGTATTTTAAGTAATTCGAGAAAATTCTAAATTATATGGGTAATTTATTAATTATTGATTAATGGGAGATTAACAAGTTAATCAAGTGATTAGTGGATAATTAATCCAAATATTTGGATAAGTATTACATCTCCAAACTTGGCAGCCCTTAAAAGCCAATTGATGACACTTTATAAGGTGTCACATTTAAGGCTAAGTCATCACCTTAGTGGGGCCCACACCCACTAAGGCCCCACTAAGGTATAAGACCTCTAAATTCACAAATAGAGGTGGATTAAATTAATAGAGGTGGCTAAGAATTCAGCAAGTAACTATCTCAATCAAAAAAAATTCATACGAAATTATATTGCGTAATAGCAACGGGATTTTGCGATTCTAAGAGAGCACGGTACAATCTTTCTCAAGAATATCATACGGATTTTTTCCTACTTCGATCCGCCGTTACGTGTTGTCGAAATTGACATGTGTTGGAAGGATTGTCAAGAGAATCGGCTCAAGTATGTTAAGGCTATCCCTTCTTTCCTTTTGGCATGATCTATACGACACGAACGAAACGAGCAAATGCACAATTTTCATAAATGACTATATTCATAAAAATACTAGGGATGTCTATATTCTTGATTTTCCATGTGAATTATTATATCTTCTGTTCATGGGTCTCAGAAAAATACGTATTTGATAAAATTTATCCGACAGACATATTATTTTTATGACATTCCGAAAAAATCTTATTAACGTATTTCTTATGCATTTCATGCATTTATACATGTACATTGACCCATGACCAGATGGCGTTATATACGCGTATATTATATGTATATGGGATATGAGAAAAGGTTATGGCGTTATTTACGCACCACCACCTGATCAGCTGGTATACGTTGATGATTTGCCCACAGTGGCCGAAATGATATGATGGGATGCCCTCAGAGGCTTGATGATGCTATGAACACATATACCTATGCATGGTATGACATTTATACGCATATGCATGACGTTATAAAAATGAAATGATTCACAGAGCTATGCAGACATACATGTCGAGTCTTTTACTCTATGTTTCTCTCATGTCTATTATTTACTGATTTTCATTCCTTACATACTCGGTGCATTATTTGTACTGACATCCCTTTTGCCTGGGGACGCTGCGTTTCATGCTCGCAGGTCCCGATAGACAGGTCGAGAGCCCTCCAAGTAGGCTATCAGCTCAGCGAAAGATGTTGGTGCACTCCATTTGCTTCGGAGTTGCTTGTTTGGTTAGTATGATTTAGACGTGTATTGTTTGGTATGTCGGGACTCTGTCCCGACCTTTATAAAAATTATGTATTCTTAGAGGCTTGTAGATAGATGTCATGTATGTAAAAGATTGTATGGCCTTGTCGGCCTATGTTCAGTGTACGAGTGGTTATTTTGGTCTTATAGGCCCGTATGTCTTATGTATAAGTTGGTAATACATATTTTATTCTAGTTATCTCACGACAACTTTTCCGTCTCATTTTTCTATGATAGTATGATACGAAAAGATATGTTATGTTGGTACTCGGTTGAGTAAGGTACCGGGCGCCCGTCGCAGCCCATCGATTTGGGTCGTGACAAAAGTGATATCAAAGCAGTTCTGTCCTAGGGAGTCTGCAAGCCATGTCTAGTAGAGTCTTGTTTATGGGTGTGTTGTGCACCACACTTATAAGCAGGATGATACAAGGCATTTGGGATTGTCACCCTTTCTTCTTACTCTAGATCGTGTGGTAGAACTCAGTTGTAAGAACTCAACTTCCTAAACTCTATCTTATTGATAATACGATGATACCTTCATCCAGAAAGACGGTTGGTAAAAGATGTAGCTGTGGAAGAGTTGAGTCAGCCATCATGCTTATGATTGATAAATATGAGGTATTCAACAGATCATGTATGTACTAAGATGTGTAAACTTCCTAATAAGGATCCCTAAGACTAGAATGTCTATCCACTCTTACGGTAAAAAGGAATAAGAGAATCGGAAGGTACACACAAGTTTCAGCAAGTAAAAGAAGCAAGATGAAAAAGGGTACGAGGTACCCAGTTAATGAAGGTTAACAGTATTTACAATTCAAGCAGAGAAATATAAGCATTCTGAGTTACCTTCAATAGTAACAGAGATATATACAATTGATCACACCCATTTCAGTTATGCCCTCTAGGGGCTGACAAGTATAGTTTAAGAGGATGGGATATCATGATCCGACTGGGGTTAGAGTAACCCAAAATGGTGAATGTATTGTTTGTGTTAGTTAACATTTCCGAAGGGTATTGCAAGTGTGGTAATAGATCTCCTTGTGAGATACCCAGATGGTGCACTCTAAAATAGTACAGCTAGATACTGAGGTACAAACTCTCTCAGGAACATCTCTGGAAAACTGAACCCATGTAAGTGAAGCTAACTCGGCTGGGCTACCCAACTCATATGCCCGCCACCACTGGTAAGCCGCTCCCCTGAGCTGGAACGTAGTAAAAGTAACCCCGCTCGTCTCCACAATACCCATAGTATGGAGAATGCGGTGACACTCTTCTAGAAAACCCTGTGCACTCTCTGAAGCCAAACCACTGAATGTAAGAGGGTCATATTTCTTGAACCTTGCAAGTCTAAGTTGCTCTTCCTCAGATGTTGCTGCCCTGACCACGGACTGAACTGGAACCACAAGCTGTGTCGCCATGACACCTGGAACCTGACCAACATAAACTCGCTACTCTGGGGTTTGGGCTGCGGGAGTCTGGGTTCCTCCCCTGGTCTGTGAAGTAGCTGGTGCAATCGGAATCAACCCCGCCTGAGCCAATGTACCAAACATGCTCAGGAACTGTGCTAAGGTCTCCTGAAGTCCGGGGGTAATAACAGGCGCCTCTGGTACCTGCTCCTTAACTGGAACTACTGGCGGCCCCTCAACTGCTGCTCTGTTAGGTGCTCTGGCTGCGACACTTACTTTTCGTCGGCCTCTGCCTCTGCCTCTAGCGATACTTGCTTCGGGAGCAGCATCGTCTATAATTGTAGCTCGTGTCCTCACCATTTGTGAAAG